AAAATACTAAATATACTATATTAGATATTACTGACGGAAAAATCCATAGATAACAAAATGACAATTTAATATTAATAATGGAGTTTTTAGTCAGTGATAATTTTAAGAAGTGTCTTAATAAATTAAATTTATTGACAGAATTTTTCGTCACTAGACAAAGCAAGTAAATAAAAAATTTAAATATTTGTTCGAAAATATTCTGTCAATTAAAAAATTAAAATTGCAAATGATTTTTCAATTGTAATATTAAAAATAAAAATAATTTAATCAACGAATAATGTAATAATAAAATAAACACTAATGGAAAATTCATTCTGAATAAAACAACAAGTAAAACAATGAATATATGTAGTTAATATTATAAAGAGAAATTTAAAAACATATTTGAATTTTATCATTGATAACTTATAAAAAAATAAATAATATATGAAGAAAAAAAATTGGTTATGCCGATGACTTTGCATAGGTGATCAACATTCGAAGCGTTGTCTTTGGTTGTTGACTTCACCAATGACATTGTCGTACAAAAGTGCGTAGATGATTACTACCAATGTCGTTATCAGTAATTTTTTGCGAATCACCAACAAATATTAATTTTAGTCCAAGTATTCGACAATTTTTCACTGATAATCACTGATCATCAATAGTTATTTGTTCTATTTTTATTTATTTATTATTCATCTTAAGAATACATTTCTCAACAACTTTGTAAAGTTTTCAAGTCATTTGAACAATCTTTATCAAAAGTACTAGGTTATTGGAAAAAAAATCAATATACTTCTATTGTCAAAATAGAATCAACTAGGATAGGAATAAAGCATTAGGTCTTCTTTGGTGTCCTCAGTTTCAATAGAACTCCTTATAAGCATTGTTTCTACCTATTATTATCTAAAAAAATAATCAAGTTATTGACTCTATGAAACCAAGAAATCACACCTCACATATTCGCCTGCGAAATTTTATTTTATTTATTTATCTATTTATTTGAGTTGTTAAACTTGGATAAAGGACAAAACAAAATAAAGATTTTTTACAACGTTCTAAGAAAAATGATTTTTACATCCACACAAATTGATTGATATGTCAGTTCTATAAAAGAAGTTTTTTAATCAATTATTTTCGAGTCATCAGATCTTACTATTCGTGTTATGCTACACGTCTAAGTTTTGAAAAAAGAAAAAAGGGATGAGATTGGGCCCCATCATTTAAATTCGTGATATAAAGTGATTAGATATGGGTGCATAGGAACAATAATACCGTGAGCATTTTGATTAGACTCCGTTTTATGGTTTTATGAAACNATACCTGGATATCAAAAAAAAAAGTATGTAATTCATATATTTCAAGTACATGATTACCCTTGAAATTTTATGTATTCTTTTCCTTTGAGAAAATAATCGATACAATTACTCTACTAAATTTTGAATTTCATAAATAAACTATGGTTTATATTGTATTAGAAAGTGCAGATAACTTTTAACTTTTTTTTTTTAATATATGTATTTTTCTCTATCTAACCAAATATGTTATAGGGTACAACTCTCCATAAATTAGTGAGTATAAATATTTAAAAATTAATAAATTAATAATTTTAAAATTAAAATGTGTGATTAAAAATAAAATTTAATCAACGTTTAACGAAAAAATAATTTTATCAAACAAGTTATCGATCTCACTACTACTATGTTCGTACAATATATGGAAAAGCTATTAAAAGAAAAAAAAAAGTTAAAATTTTAAATTTTAAAAAATAAAAAATTTGGCCGTCATGTCATATTTCTTCCAATAAAGTATATAGAGAGCATGATCCCCTATTAAGGCCAAAAATTAGGCGGACTTTTTTGTGAAAATTTGACGTAACCTAACCACTGTCTGTATGTGGCGAAACCCAATCGCTATTGGCTTTTTACCCACTAAGCAACCTCACATAAATTTGCATTTGAAAGTGAAACCAAGATTAGTGCTTCTACTATGTTGTAAGGCCGTGTTTGGTTGGTATAAGAAAATTGACTTATAATTTGCCCATGTTTGACACACATTATCTTAAAATACATTATTCCAAAATTTATTTTCAACCACACATTTTTCAATAAAATAATATTTTACATCACATCAATAACTTTTTCTTACTTTTTAACTACATATTTCTCATCATATCACTGTTTAAAATACATTCTTATCTCAATAATATCCATCAAACACTCTTAAACTTTTTAAACTTAGCCAAACATGCTCTAGGAGACAGGATTGCGGGAAGGTATATTGTTTTGTATTTGACTAATGTAAGAAGTTGAATTTGAAAATAGTATAGTGCACTTTCCGCTATCAACCTATAAGCTTGAAGCGTACACTTTCGAATATAGCTTTCAAATGGTACGAGGTAGTAAAATGAAGTGATGAACAAATTAAACCGTGTGATCAATCGTGAGAAAAATTGAGAGCCGGGAAATAGGGCAGTAGATATGGAGATTTCTTAAGCGATGCTCGACTTATTTTATGTAGAGATGTTAAAATAAGGAATTTTCTTTTATCATATAATCCAATGTTACAAATCTCGTGACAATTAAGTATGAACTTTCTTACAAACGATTGTATATTAAAATAATCTATAAAGAGTTCGTGATAAGATCAAATTACTCGTATTTCTCGTTATATCCAAAAAAATCAAAATGTCAAACTCGTAAGCAGGTTAAATAAATTAAAAAAGAAACTTCAATTTTATGTATCGTCTTTTTATACGAGATTTATTTATTTATTTATTTTTGTTGAGTGAAGATGGCAAGTTTTTTTTTTTTTGGCTAATGGCAAACGGACCCTAACGGAGTAGTTGGTTGGATGGGCTTTAGTTTACGGTTTGAATTTTGGAAGCATGCTTTAAGTAAGAGAATATTTTTACAGCCTAAGAAAAGTAAGTAGAATTGTCCCTACACTACAACATGTTCGTCTTCATGTGTCCATGAATCACATTACATTTTTTCTCTCTTTCCAATATATTTTATTCTTGGAAATTTCTTCTTTTTTTGCGCAATTTTAAATTCTTGAGATATTATTTTCCTTCGTATCAGCTAGTCAATGAGTAGGGACATAAATGTCAACTTTATAAAATTACTTAAATATAAAGTTCGTCTACTATTGAATAACAAAANATAAAAATGTTGACAAACCCTCACATGTGGGGGGGGCCCACTTTTTATTTTCAATTTTTTATTCATGTGGGGCCGGCAATCATGTGAGTGTTTGTCAACATTTTTGTCAAATTCTTTTTGTACAAATAGTTTTATTCTTAAATTATACTTGTCCATTGCTTCTTTTTGAAGAAGGATTCATACATTAATTTTGCTACTTGTACGGAATTGGGTTACAAATTTGTTGACGGAATACGAGATGACAGTTATTTGGCGCCTTGAATGAATGAGTGAAATACAAACTAAAGGCCAAAAAATTGCCTCGTCATTTCTGTCAACAAATATGTACAGATTTTCTGTAAATTTAGCATGCTTCTTCATACATTGAATCGAGTAAAGTAGGATAAGATAATTTACAATTGAGAAAAACAATTATAAATTATCTTATCTAGTTCTACTCAATTCCATGTATTAAATATGTTATAAAAAATAATGCACAAAAACACTAATAATTGTGTACAAACTCCCTTTCCACACAATACAAACTTGCCACATTTAGTCCTTGTTTGAGCCACATTATTTGATAAATAATGTATTTTTGAATAATAGATTGATAGAGAATGTGTGGTTAAAAAATAAACAAAAAGTTTTGAATTTGCGTGTAATATTATTTTATTAAAAAATATGCTATTGAAAATAATAGAGAAAAAAAATGAATTTTAGAAATAGTGGGATCAAACAAGGACTTAATTGTGGGTTAAAAAAGGAGAGAGTGTATAAGACATTGTAGATTACTTTATTCAATTATATTTGATATATTAAACATGCTTTAAAAAAATAATGGACAAAAACAATAATAACGATCGATAATATTCAAAAAAATAATGTTATCTAATATTAGTAGTGCTAAAATACTATGATACATTGTCAGAGATAGGAATAGAACCCTCACATTGCGACTGTCAGCTCAGGTGAAACAAACTCTCATTCAACATAATACAAGCTCTAGATATAGCTTCAAAATTACCTAAGTGTATAGTAACATCGTATTTAATTTATGGTTCCCCACTATCAAATTTTTTTAGGCAGAGGTAAATACAACCTAGTTTCCTATTGTTAGAATCAGAAAATCAGTTCGTTTATTGATTTGAGTTAGGACAAAATAGGTTTTCTTTTTCCATTTTTTTGAAGGGTTTCTATATAGTTATGGGTGGCCATCGAATTTGACAGTTAGTTGTGCATTTAAAAAGATATTTGAACGACAATATTAATTTCCAGAACCAAAAAGGAAAAGAAAAAAAAAAAAAGATAGAAAAAATACTTGTCCCTCAAAACATCCACAATGCCATTTCTACATTGAGTTTCATGGAAAATGTCAGTTTTCCATCTAAATTCAAATTTTGAAATGTTTGATTACTATTTTTTTTCATTGAAAATATTTTTCAATTTTTTGAAAATATGTCTAATTTTTCTTGTTTTGAAGGAAAAATATTTTCTTTGGATAGAGTATATTTTTGTTTTTCTCAAAATAAAGAAAGAATTTTCTTTTCTAGAGTATATTTTCTAGAGTCTTGATTTTACAAAAATCTCAAACTCCTGTCGCGGGATCCGAACCCGGATTTCAGGCCACTCTATGCCACGTCAAAAGATGTATCGGACGCCACGTAAGAATCCAATCCTAATCAGAAAAATCCATCCCCTATATAAAACCCACTAATTTTTCTGGCTTCATAAAAAACACTTGTGAGCGATCAATCAATTCAGAAAATACACGCCAAACGCAGGAACACAGAAGTAATTTACTTTCCCCGCCGGAGGCATCTAGCTCGCCGGAAAATGAATATTCCGGCAGACGTCAGATCGGAGAACTAATGGATGGTTTCCTTTTTCTGCCTTTCGGTAAATACTATATGTTTAATTATTGTGAGTTTTTGTTCGATCTCTGAGAAATGATGAGAAAAAGCAGAATTTTAAGCATTGATATTGGGAAATTTTTCGCTTTAGTTTTTGAGTTTTTGCTTTTGATTTTGATTCCTTGACACGCAAAGCTAGTACTGTATTTATTTAGAGCTCTGAGAATTCAACTAATGTAACAGAGAGTATAATTAAGCACAGCACGATTTTGTAGAAAATGCCTTTTCCAATGAGAATTCAACCGATCGATTCTCAAGTATACAGAGAGTCATCCATACGCAACGACACCGTAAAGCCACCTGTGTTTAAGTCGAGGTTAAAGCGGCTTTTCGATCGGCCTTTTAGAATTTCATCGACCGAGAAGCCAACCGCCGGTGGAGAGAAGGATGGAGAAGCCGACGCGCCGGCGCCGGATTTTGAGCCTAGCTCTGTTTGGCTGGACAAGATGGTTCAGAATTTCATTGAAGATACAAATGAGAAGCAATCGGCGGCGGCGGCGGCCGCTGCGAAATGCGGTCGCAACCGCTGCAATTGCTTCAACGGTAACAACAATGGCAGCTCCGACGATGAATTTGATTCTTTCTTTGACTCCACTCCAAACTCTTCCTTCAACGACACTTCCGACACACTGAAGGTACATATTATTCTCGATTGATTCTATAATACATATAGCCTCTTGCTTCTACATCAGTTTATATTGATTTTTTATAATGTTTTTTGTAGAGTTTGGTACCGTGTGCGAGTGTTGTGGAGAGGAATCTGCTAGCCGACGTTTCGAAAATTGTGGAAAAAAACAAAACTTGTAAGCGCAAAGACGATTTGAGGAAAATCGTTACCGATGGTCTACTTGCTCTTGGTTACAACGCCTCCATTTGTAAATCCAAATGGGAAAAGTCTTCCTCCATCCCAGCTGGTAAGAAATTCATGAATTTTTATTAATAATTTAATAGGTTTTACTTGCCAATCTAAAATCGATCATATATGGCCATTTCTGTATATGTAGGCGAGTACGAGTATATTGATGTGATAGAGGAAGGAGAGAGGCTGATAATCGACATAGATTTAAGATCGGAGTTCGAAATAGCACGATCAACAAGCAATTATAAGGTGATTCTACAGTCTCTACCGAATATTTTCGTCGGAAAACCGGATCGGCTTCTCCAAATTGTTTCGATTGTGTCGGATGCCGCCCTGCAAAGCCTTAAGAAAAAAGATATGTATATCGCACCGTGGCGTAGAACCGAATACATGAAATCCAAATGGTTCAGTCCTTATACCCGAATCAGGCAGTCAATCCCATCAAACGACGCCGTTGAGGTGCCTGCCGGCGCTGAAGCTAAATACGCACCGGAGACTGAAGAGGGTGTAAAGGATGAGGCGGAGACGGATGTTTTGGAAGGTGAGTTTGGGGAATTGGATTTAATTTTTGGAGAGAGAACGTGGTCGTTGCAGTCTGACTTCGAGGAACCTAAATTGCCTTCAACTCCGGCGAAAGTTTCCGGCGAGGAGGAAAAGCTAGTTTTTTCGAAGGTGACGTGGCAGCTACCGGCAGTGAAGCCCAAGATTTCCGACGCCGGAAACAGGGTGGTGGTCACCGGATTAGCTTCACTCCTCAAAGAAAAACTTTGAAATTTTTGTAACTTTGTTATAAGAAATTCCTAACCCTTTTATACAAATGCAAAAAATATATACTCCGCATATATAAAATCGGAGAATATTGCACCAATTTTGTTTCTGCAATTGCAAAATCTAGAACAGTCTGTAATAATAGAAGAAAATAAATTATAAATATGATATGATTGTGTATATACAATTGCAGTAGGGTCCTTGGTAGGAAACATAGTGTGGATAAATAATATTTTTAGTTTTATTAATTTTTGTTTATGGGGAACTGTAAAATAATGGGGGAATATAGTGGGAGAAGAGAAGGGGATATGGGGCATTGGGGATGTGATGGAGATGCCGGGCAGGTAGGACGTCAAAGCCTGCGGCACTTCGGTAAGGGTGGTGGGTGGAATAGCGTACGGTGATGTTCTCTTTTTTGGGTGTTATCAATTCTACTTTGAATTATGTCTTTGTAAGGTTAAAATTAGATTTAACTGTTAGTAACTTGAATTTATGATTTTTATTTACTTCAATTATTTATTTTATTTTTTAAATTTATATTATTGGAAATGCATGTAGAGGAAGATTAGGTAGTGTTCTCTTTGTGTTTCCGTTTTCTATTTTGAGTTTTGAAATCATTTTGAGTTTTGTGTTTTGAATGTCCATTTTGAAATTGTTGAAAANGGATATGGGGCATTGGGGATGTGATGGAGATGCCGGGCAGGTTCCTGCAGTTTCGGACGCCGTGAAGTGTAAGGGTGGTGGGTGGAATAGCGTACGGTGATGTTCTCTTTTTGGGTGTTATCAATTCTACTTTGAATTATGTCTTTGTAAGGTTCAAATTAGATTTAACTGTTATTAACTTGAATTTATGATTTTTATTTACTTAAATTATTTATTTTATTTTTTTAATTTATATTATTGGAAATGCATGTAGAGGAAGATTACTTTCTTTCATTTTACTTTGCAACAGTCAGATTTGGGATTTGGCGTTGGCTGCTTTTCATTTTTTCTACTTTTCACTTGGGCCAGACAAGTGTGACTGGGGGACTGTAAAAAATTGACGGGGTTTAAAAAGGGAATTTAACACGTGGTAAGCTTTTGAGGGTCCAAGTAAAGAATAATGACTTTCTTGGTTTTGTACGATTTGACTTTTCCCTGGCATAATATCATTGGATAACATTCACTCAGTTGATTCTTAATTATGATTAACTTTAAAATTAATGCTATTTATCCAAGTTACAACCTGAATTTAGTTGACAATAATGTAACATTAATTGATAGGTGGAGTTAAATAAATAATTTAATTCCACATTTTATTTAGTATATCATATAATGTCACATAAACTGGAATTATAGGCTCATAACATTATTTATTTTAAAATATTCCCAACATTGTTGGTTAGGAGTTTTGGTGACTTATAAACTACCTAATAACACCTTATTAATTGAATTATATAGTATTAATAATTATTAAGATTTTAAATTGTCTATTTAAGTGCAATCCAGTATGTAATCTTACTCTGGTAACATTTTTAATTTTATTTTTTTACATAAATTAGGCCCATGTTTGGTATGGATTTAAATCCTGATTTTAATTTAATTTAAATTTAATAATAAATTTTAACTATGCATTTTATTGGTTTCATAACTTTTCAATCATACATTTCATCATCTTTCATCAAATTTTATTAAAAATATGACTTTAATCTTTACCAAATATGAGTTAGATATGATTCAGTAACACAATTAATATCTTGTCGATACTTGATGAGTAAGCCCAGTCTTCGCCCCTGTTTGTCTCTTATTAAATTATTTTTTTAAAATTCATTTTGAACCATACATTTATAAAATAAAATATTTTATTTTTTTCATAATACTTGACCATATATTTTTCAAGAAATCACCATTCAAAAGTTTATTTTTTTTTCCATAAAACTCTTTTCAATGGAAGACAAACAGAGACTTCATTTAAAAAGAAAGGATTATTAATTAAAAACGTCCTTATGTTTCATTTATTATTATTTTTTTCATTTTCACCCCTATTTATTCCTTTTATTGGGTTGGGTTGAGTTGGAACACATAAATGGGTTGGGTGGGTTTGATTTCTGATCAAACCGACCATATTGGATTGGGTAACAAATCGACCCAAGCAAACCCACTCGCACCCCTAGTTGCAATTGGTTCTTTGGATTTTTTTATTATTTAAATAGGATTGTACGTTCGTCATTTCACAACTTTTTATTCAGAAATTAGATGAAAATGATTATTTCGGTAATAAAATGTGGAAATAGGGATAAAAATGTAAAAATAAAAAATAAAAATTTAGGGACATTTTGCACAATGAATTCAAATGTAGGGACGTTTTGTGCTAATAACCCAAAAAAAATATTTATATTTGGAAAATATTGTCATTTCAACTAGATTAGACCTCATTAAAATTTTAATGTATTTTTCTCTCTTCTTTTCAGCTACACATTTTCCAATAAAATAATATTACACATAAATAAATAAATAATTCCTTCTTTTTTTAACCACTCATTTTTCAAAAAAATAATATTCTAAAAATTATAATACCAAATAATGGAGGCCAAATGTGAGCTTAAGAAATTGGACTGTTATTCATTTTTAATATAAGGAATTTCAACATTATTATTATTATTAAGAAATTTATAAATAAATAAACTTGATCATATACTCTTCATCTCCAGTCTCATTCAACGCATCAACTGTGTTATTAAATTATAATCAATATGTTCAGTTGAGTGTCAGTTAATTATATTTGATTTTGCTTAATTGATGTAATGTACAATTACTAAATGTTTTTAAGCATATTCCATGAATATATTTCACCTATATGACATCAAATTAATTGAAAACAATCCACCTGGGTTTTGTTGTTTTCTCCATTTCTCTCTTTATAAACCTTTCTGACATCAAATTGGTTCAGAATTTGGGTCAGGCTCTCAAATTTAAATATTTAATTAATCCAAAAATGAGAAGAAAATAATAACTGTTTTTAAGCAGAAATTTTGCTGACAATTTGATCACAGTACAATTATTTTCATTTTTTGTTGGGAAATTCGCGCCCACAGATCCAATCTTACTATTTGTCTCACTTGGATCCCTACTCATTTTTTGTTGCATATAGGTCCCAAAGTTCTTCCTTTTTGTGCACATAAGGACAAATTTATGCAAATTGTTCAATTTTTCGTCAAATAATCACTTAAAGGCACGTGTTTCATTCCTTCAAGTGTATTCTATCAATTAGATCCTATCAACTTGTTTCGATCTATAATAATAAGTTTACGAGTTTGGTCTTACTTAGATGTCGAAAAACGAAAGAAGACTCATCTCCAAGTTTAACTTTGACATAACTTCCTTCTTTAACCTAAGTTGTCCATTATTTCAACTGACTATTTGACAAAAAATTGAACGCTTTCCACAATTGGTCCTTACATGCACCAAAAGGCACTTTTTGGAGACCTAAATGTGATAAAAAGATGAATTTGGACCCATGTGCAACATATTGTAATGTTTGGGATTATGAGTGAGAATTTCCTTATCTTAATTTTCAAATTGTTATTTATGGGACTTATTTAATTATATGTACAATGATTGTGGTGGGATCATTTGGGAGAAATAAAATAAAAGATATGGGGTCACTTTCCCTATTTTTTTCTCTTTAAAATTTAGTGGAAGTAAGGTCTCTTTTTCCATACAAAGCCAATTATAAAAGCAATTTCCCAAAGTTTGACAATAATTACACCTCATGAAAGCAACCCCCACCAACTCCTCCTCTCTGTGTCCATATATGTGGATAATTGCAGCTGCGACCTCAAACTATTATTTTTTGGCCCAGTGGGTCTAAGATCAATTTCTTTTCATTTTTGGATCCTCAAATGTTAAAAAATTAAAGAAAATTTAAACAACCCAAGGGTAATATTATAGGGACAGCAGCAGCAAATTTCTCTCTCTCTCTGTATGTTTGTGTGTCTGCGTATGCATATATGGTCTGTTTGTTTCGGATTAAAATCAAATTTTAATCTAAGTGAAAGTTAAACCATTAATATTAACCACATTTTTCATGGGTCCCACAATTTTGCAATCATAGATTTCAAAAACTTCTATCACACTATGTTAAAAATCTAATTTTAATCCACACCAAACACTTACTGTGTATGTATAAGAAAATTGGCAATGTGGTCCACAAGCATTGTTATTTTTTAGATGTTAAAGCTTTTTAAGTACAAGTTGGTCCTTATTAGTGAAATGAAGTAAAAAAATAATAATAATAAAATTCTTCTAACAATTGTAATTAAATCGAGAGGGAATTGACTATTTCCATACGATAAGGATCAACTTGCATCTACATTGAAAATTTGAGGATTTGAAAATTAGAAAATTTTGATTGAGTACTTAAGTACATCAATTGGCAATGTTTGGGGATCTCTCTCTCTCTCTCTCTCTCTCTCTCTCTCTCTCTCTCATCATTCAATTGGTGTTCTATATCATTTACTAGGTGTTTCGAGCTTCGAAAATTTATTTTTTTTCAAAATCAATTTTATTTACATCTTTTATTAATAAAATAGTTTTATATATAAAATAAAAAAAAATTCTTACTTTTTAATCACATATTCAAAAATAAATAAATAAATCACCTTTACAAAATTTATTCCTCCAAAAAATAAATTTTAAATTATTACTCTCTAAATATATATTGCCTCAATTGACTTAGATAAAAATTTATTTTTTTAGTAAATTTTGATAAATATTGATAAAATGTATGATTAAAAAGTTGTAAATCACATTAATTAATTTTTAGTTAAATTACTCTCGTTTGTCTATCATTATTTCAAAACTTTTTTTTTTTCTTAAACTCATTTTCAATTACACATTCTTACAATAAAATATTTTACACGTATTTCTAATACATTTTCCTACTTTTTAACCACTTACTCTTCAAAAATTCACAATAATAAGCCCTTGAATTTTAATCTACTTTTTTAACATTGAACCAAAAG